TGCGTACGTCGACTGTTATATAAGAAGAAATAACTACCTCTATCTCATCATGCTGGTAACAGGGTTGTGTTTGTTGCATCTCACAAATAAACCACTGTTTCATTAGCGATCCCTTCCTAACGCCCTCCTCCCATCTCTCTCTCTCTCTCTCTCTCTCTGCGTTTCCCTCCAGGGACGAGTTCTCACACCAAGTACAGAGCAGCAAGCAATGAGGAAGAAAGAAAAGAGGTGCTTGTCCAATCAGAGATGCAGATGGCCACAGAAGACATGAGCACCAGCCAACCTGGCACCGGGGCGACTTCCACTTGCCAATTTATACATAACAAATCAAATGTGACCCCCTAATTAAACATTTGATACAGTTTACCTAGACACACATACTGCCAATGAAGTGATACATCCTGCACTTCTACTTCGCTAAATTCTGAATTCTTCAGTTCAACGCAAATTTCAATTTTAAGAAGACAAGAGAGGCTAAAAAGACAGACAGGAGGAACATTTGCCATGCTGTGACTATACCCCAAACAGTCACAACAACACAAATCTGTAGAAAAACAAGTCACTGCACACTAAAATATTACCATATAAAACACACCCTCACTGCCTTTCCAATGGCTCAAGCCAGCATGAATAAATGTTAGATGGCGAGCGTCTCTGGTCGGTTTTCTCCAATGGATACTGCGATGACATCCCAAATGGCCCAGAGCGCAGGACAGGGACGGCAGAGACATAACACGACTGGAGGCTCTTCATCAGCGGTCTTGTCCACAGCCAGCTCCTTCCTCTGTTGGCTTGCCCTGCTGTCAATAATGCGGTTGCCAATGGTAACAGCTGACTGTTGGCTTATCGAAGGGGAGAAAGGCTTTGTGTGGCTGGCTATCTGCAGTATGAACCAGCCTCCCTATGAGGCCATCCCCTCCCACATAAACAGGTAAGAACACTTACAACCAAAGTGAACTATTTTCCACAGCATCGTGGCTTTTTGCCAAACAGTCCGCACACCTGACACACATCTCTCAACAGCACCATTGTGGATCTGAGGCTGAACGAGAACAAGATACGGTCGGTCCATTATTCTTCACTCAGTCGCTTTGGCAACCTCACCTATCTGAACCTCACCAAGAACGATATCAGCTACGTGGAAGATGGAGCGTTCTCAGCACAATTCAACCTGCAGGTGAGAGACGGCATCGGGTTCATTCATGCACACAAATGCTCAGTCATGAATGCAAATGTATACAACAAAGGGGAAGTAACCCTATGTACTATTTTAGGTTCAGCTTAGAGGTACTTGGGCAGAATGTAAAATGGTGGGCGAGGTTAGAGTCCATGCAACGTTTTACATACTGAAAACCCGTTCAGCATAAAACAATGTACAATCCATTACACAGTGATTAACCAGGTATACGCTGATCCACCACAGCATCAAAACCACCTGTCTAACACTGTTCAGGCCCCCCTCATGCCTCCAACACAAATCTGATCCATCATGATCATAGACACAGGACCTCTGGGGAGGTCTTGTGGTTTCTGGCACTGGGATGTTGGCAGCAGTGGGCGCTCCACGGACCGGGTTTGTTCATCCCATTGATGCTCAGTCCAATGGAATCTGGGAAATTTAGAGGCCAGGTCAAGACCTTTGGCTCTTTGCCGTGGTCCTTAAGCTATTCCTGATAAGTTTTTGAAGCGCGGTGGTTTTTTCTCTGGAAGGCCGTCGTTGTTGATGTGGATGTGCTTGGTCCAGAACAATGTTTAAGTGGGTGGCATATTTCAAAATAAAGTCCTCATAAATGCCAGGACCCAGGGTTTTCTAGCAGAACGTTGCATTGTAACACGATGATCAACGTTATTCACTTCACAATAATGTTCTGACTGTTTGGTGCAGTTAGTGTTCAGATTTAAACAGCTGCAACATTAAAACTTTTTCTTAAGGCACTGGGAAACTAAAAATGCACTTGGATAATGCACACTATATTTAACACTGGGCAACAAACCACAGCAGTACTTTAGCACCAACAATCAAAAATGATCTGGCGGTTAGAATGAAAACATGCATGACCTTGTTTACTTATTCTGTAATTAAACAAAGATGTATTGACTACGTTTTGTCAATTGTAGACTGATGCACGCAGTGTCTACTTATGCTAAGACAATATTTAACTTCTTCTGTTAAATAAAAGAAATCTGGAATCAATACTAAACTCTGTTGAAAGGCCTCCTTTGCATAATGAGTATTAGTTTAATATTTGATTGGGCTTTGCTGATATACGCGTTTATACTTGTGCAACTTTGAATGAAGGACTTCACATAACAACAATAGGGAGTGTTTTTAAGCCGTGTCCCTACCCAGTTAAAGGATCTATACTCTTCCAGCATTACAAGCACAGATGGACACACAGATACGGGAGAAAGACAACACTATTATGGCTTCCAGAAACATTCCGGCAACGTGTTTCACCAAACTTAGCTGATCGCGGCCATAATGAGCTGGCATGCTTTACACAGCTGCTGGAGCTGTGCCAGGAGGTAACATGTGAACAAGAAAGATCTGAGTAAATTCAGCGCAGCACAGAGGCTTAGATCACCATGTGAAACACGAACTGTGCTGAACCGTCATCTGTTTGTTCTGTATGTTTCCAGCTCGTAGTGAGTGATGCCTGGCACCGACTGGCTCTTCAGAGATTAGGATAATCCCACTTGTCTTTGTCTCCCCCAGGTTCTCCAGATGGGCTTTAACAAGTTGAGGAACCTGACAGAGGGGATGCTGCGAGGCCTGGGCAAGCTGCAGTACCTCTACCTGCAAGCCAACCTCATCGAGACTGTTACACCCAACACCTTCTGGGAGTGTCCCAACATCGAGAATATAGACCTCTCCATGAACAGGTCTGTGTGTGTGGGCACTGATGAGAGAGCGAGGGGGAAAAAAAGTCATTAAAAAATCTCATTAAATGTCAGGATTTGCTGTTTTTTTTTTTTATTATTATCACAGAAGACAACAAATACATTTGGGTTTGTGAACTGTTAGTTGGAAAATAACAGGCACTTAAATGCTACCTTGGGCTTTTGAAAATTATAATGTGCCGATAAAGGCAACATTTTAAAGACTAAACAATTCAGAGATTAATCCATAATAATCAGCGCGAGTGCAAAAGCTCAAAAAAGGCTACTTACAGTCTGGCATTGTGTCTGGATTCATATTTGGTGGTTCATTGTTGTAAAATAGTAGCTGTGCAGAGGAAGAAAACAAAATTAAACATTTTCAGCACATCTGCCCTGGAGCTGGAGAGGATAATACGGTAAAATTGCATAAATGAGGCCAAAACACAACGGTGTTAAAGGTCAGGCTTGATGTCATCACCCCAAAATCACAGATCAATGGCTGCTTTCTAAATTCACCGATTTGCACTGATGGGCGGATTTACAGGCAAAAATGAACTGCAGACAATATTAATTCTCTCACTGACGGCATCCTCAGCAGATCACAATGCAATACTGCTACAAGCCACCCTCCTTCTTTCTCAGTGGAAATAACTGTCTTGTTCTTACTATTGGTAGCGTAATTGGTATTGATCTCTTGGCCAAAACATAAAGCAACAAATGAAACAAGTTTAACTGTTCTTTGGGGCTCCTTGAAAGGCATTGTGGGAGATTTTTATGACGGAAAACTGAACTTTAAGAAGAGTGAGGAACAAGTGCATTTAATGATAGAAGATAGAGTGCTCTGAAGTGAAATTTTCAGTTTAAAAATCTTACATTTTCTCTGCGTCTGTTTCCAGGATCCAGGTGTTGGACGGCAGTTTGTTCTCCGGACTCTCCAAGCTGACCACCTGTGAACTGTACACCAACCCTTTCAACTGCTCCTGTGAGCTGCTGGGTTTCCTGCGCTGGCTCTCAGCCTTCCCCAACAGGACCAGTGAGCGGATGGTGTGCGACTCCCCTCAAGGATTCTCTGGCTACAACCTCCTGAGCCAGAACCCCCGCATGCCTACCCAGCGCAACGCTCTGCACGTGCTCAGTCTTGTGTGCACTGACGACGGCAGTAGCGTGACACACTTCGACGTCCTCGACTCCACCACCCAGTCCCCGGACTTTGCCTCCCCCTGCGGACTGGACGACTGTGCTTCCGGGACCCCTCCTGACGAGGTGATCAGCCTGAGTCCCATTTTCCCCGATGCCAAGCCGATCATGACGATAAAACAGGTGCTACATTCGAGCGCTGTGATCACGGTTCAGATTCCTCATCCGTACAGGAAAATGTACATTCTGATGCTTTATAACAACAGCTTCTTCACAGATATCCAGAATCTGAAAAACCAGAGAGAAGATATTGAGCTAAAGAACTTAAAACCCAACACTGACTATACATACTGTGTGGCTTCTATACGAAACTCCCTGCGCTTCAACCACACCTGTCTGACCATCTCCACTGGCCGCCGAGCCGAGGCTGAGAGGATAGCCAATCAGTCGTCAGCCACCCACTACATTATGACTATTCTGGGCTGTCTGTTTGGCATGCTGCTCTTCCTTGGCCTAGTTGTCCACTGCCTGAGGAGGAAGAGGATCATGGAGGAGAAGGAGAGGAAGATGAGCAGGATCCAGAGGACTCTGATAGAGCTCAAGTACGGTGGCGAAGGAGATATAGAGGGAGGGAGTGGAGGATCTGTTTCTCAGAAGCTTGCCGGTGGGGACAGCCTGTCCAGAATGCCCTACCTGCCTCAGGGTGGCGAGATAGATCCATACAAGCTTCAGGAGGTGATAGAAACACCGGCGCACAAGCCTGCTAAACTTAACTACATGGAGGTCAGAGGCTCGGGCATTGAAAGAGAAAGGGAACGAGAGAGAGAGAGAGAAAGAGAGATGTCGCCACAAGCAAATCCGCAGGGCTCGGTAGCAGAGATTTCCACCATCGCTAAAGAAGTTGATAAAGTTAACCAGATCATCAACAACTGTATAGATGCTCTCAAATCTGAGTCTACCTCCTTTCAGCAGGGGATCAAATCTCCTTCTTCTGCAGGTGGAGGAGCTGTTTCAACTGCAGAGCCACAGCTGGTGCTTCTGTCTGAGCAAGGAGAGAGAGGAGAAAGAGGAGGTGAGTTCCTCTCCCCGGTGTATAAAGGAGGGAGAGGAGGACGGGAAGAGAGGGGAAGAAGCTACCATCATTCACTGCAGCGACACCACAGCATGGAGGCTCCTCCAACCTCTAAAAGGCCCAGCACCTCCTCCTCTCCCGGCTCTGCCCGGAGCCCTCGCTCCTTCCGCTCAGAAGGAGGCTACCACTCATCAGAGACCCGCTATATCGAGAGAACCTCACCCGGAGAGAGGGGAGAAAGGGCAGGTGGGGGAGGAGAGCCCATCCGCACCGTCACCCCAGCAGCGGCTATCTTACGAGCTGAAGCCCAGAGAATCCGCCAGTACAACGAGCACCGCCACTCCTATCCCGGCTCCCAGCAGCACCTGCAGGAGCTGCAGCACCACCCCCAGATCCTGCAGGAGCTCCACCACCACCCAGGGGGCCGAAAGCCCTCTGTGTTAGACCCCCTCACTCTGAGCAGGCAGGCCAAGCAGCGGGAGTTAGCCTACTCCCAGCTTTCACCGCACTACCCACTCTCTCCCCAGTACCACAACCTCAGCTACTGCTCCAGCCCCGAGGAAGACGAGGAGGAGGAAGGCCTCCTCTGCACCCCAACCCTGGGGTTGTGGGAGAGGTTCAAACTGCACCGGAAGAGGCACCGGCAGGCGTCCATGGAGGATGAAGGATACGTGGCAGCTGGACACGCACTGAGGCGAAAGGTTCAGTTTGCCAAGGATGAAGATCTGCACGACATACTGGACTACTGGAAGGGTGTGTCCGCCCAGCAGAAGGCCTGATCGCACATGTGGAGACCCCAAACACTGAAGATGGAAAAATACCAACACTGCATCCATTACATATTGATACAGACCTATTCATTAAAGACCTGTAAATACACACAAACACACATAACTTACAGGATCTACTGAATCAAAGTGCACATACATGTAAACACACACCCACACACAGACACACACACACACACACTGGCTCATACTTTACACAAACTAAGCCTTTTCTTCTGAAAACATGGAGGAGGACCAAACTAATATATTATATTGAACAACAAAAATCCATAACTTATAGAGACTGAGTTAATTTTTGTAATGTAATGGAAATTATAGCTCAGACTTATGTAGCTATTTGTACTAAGTTTTGAATGGAGAAAAAAGATTCAACATTAAAAATAGAAACCTTAAATGTTGCTGGGCAACCCATCCTGAACAGCCCAGCGATGCTTTTAATCTACCCCGAGACTGACATTCATCAAACCTGGCCACGGCAGATTAACTTCACCAAACAGAGTAATGAGAACTATTACGGCGGTGAATTGATCAAGACTTTGCTTTGCTGAGGAGGTTGTTTTTTTAGCATCGCGCCCTGCGATACAGCCACTAGAGCAGACGTTTTGAAAAATTTGCCACGATTCGGGAGATTGAAAACATCAAAACGATAAATTCTGGATGGGTCGCCAGGCAACAGTAATATTTAATTGTGCTGAGAATGAGTAGGTAGCTCTCACCAGAGAGTGAGTTTAATGTGCCAAATCAACCAAGGGGATAGTAGAGCCCTACTGTGTACCAACTTCTCCTCACCACTGTTTTTATATACAGAATTTAAAAAACCTAGTATGATATGTTGTTATTACTATTCATTATTCTTATTATCATTACTGGTCTTCTTATTATTCCTATGATCCTCATCATTAATAATCTATTATTTGAATATGGCATGGCTCTGTCGTGTGACTGTGTTTTTGACTGTTTCGAACCTCTCAGCCGAGAAGTGCACACCAACAGAGACAAACAGTACGATGGACGAGACATTTGAGTTCTCCTTTTCTACCAAGAGGAATGTGCTCTCTGCTGAGCCAAAAACAAGCCCGCCTTTTCTCTTGGTGAACCCCTGCGACACCTGCTCCTCATCCTCCTAAAGAGGGAACGCTGTACAGACGAGAGAGAGAAGTTCTATATTTGCAACAGAGGTGACTGTTTTGTTTGTACAACACGGTTTTGAAATCTTTCAGACTTTTCAGAAACCAGACTCCCAAGTTAGTTACCTACCTGCTCACTTACAATGGTACGTTTTTGATTTTGAAATCGAACTAAAAATTCTAATCTTCAAATGAATGTCTTTAATTCCCATAGGGGAAGCATATCTGCACTGTTCAAAATCAAAAAACGACTCTTAGGAAAAAGACCTAAAACTCTCAGCTTCCTTCCCGATACACTGTAGCTCCACTGTGTTTTATCAACAATTCATTTTTTCCCTCCTCCTCCTCCTCCTCCTCCTCCCATCTCCCAGGTTTCTACTTTTATTTTTTCCTTTCTTTTTGGATTCCTCTGGTTCCACTGTGGTGCCATTGTGCCAACTTGATAAATCACAAAGAAGTATTTGAAATGCTTTTAAATACTACTATTTACAGACCTCTTCTCCTTTGCATTAATACAGTTCAGTTTGCCAAACAGAACAACAATTTGCACAAAACGATCCACCACCATTGGCTCACTGCTCCCCTTCTATCCTCCAATCATTTCTAAGACCAAAGTACTGTGGTAGTAAATTGACCCTTACAGCCCCCGACCAGGACCCAACTACTGACCCACCATCACCCTTACAGACAAGACTCTAGTACCTGCATACACACACACACACTCTCAAGTGTACTCATGCACACACAACTACAACAACACACAGATGAATGTATTCTTTGAGAAGTTAGTACTGTTTAGCAGCTGGATTCAGCTGAATTCAAACAGTCGTCTGTCCTTTTTTCTGACAGATAGCTTCCTTCGGACGGCCACTTGTGTTTCAGAGATTTAGAAAAAAAAAAAAAGAAGAAGAAGAAATCATTGGCTTTCTATAAAATTGCCCAAATTAACGCTCACAGACGACCAGTTTGTCACGGAAACCCAAAACTGTCACTCAAGACGTCTATTGAAGTCATAGCAATGGAGTTTTTATATGAAAAGTGTTATGGTAAAATGTGATTAGTATCACTTATGTGGTGAAAAGAGACTTTGTGTATATCTGAAATATCTGCAGGATTTATATACTGGAGGCGGAACAGAGGAGAAAAATGTGATATTATACCGTAGATTATTCTACACAGAACTGTGCGACAACAAGTCATTTAAAACTGTAAACCAGGGATGGAGTCAAGAAAATTTCACTTCAGTGGATTTTTTTGAATTTAACATGCTTGTGGTATTCACAGTATCGACTACGATTTGTAATTACAAATGTGTATACTGAGTGAATTGCACCTACTTGGCTTTCTGATTTGAAACAGAATTGATTCCAACCTTGAAACAACAATGAAAACAACACAGCAGAAACAACAGAGCTGGTGAACAATGAAACGTTTATTGGTGGATGGAAACACTGTATAAAATCTTTTTTCTCTGCTATAATGAGTTCAGAATGCTCAAGTCATTAAGCCCGGTTAAAGCCATAATCATGGGTTGGTAAAATCACCACAGCTGTTTGTAGCACTGAAAAAAGCACATTCATTTGTGTGGTTAAAAAGGCCGTATTTTTTCCCTCCTGATAACGCAGCAGCTCTGACGGGGTTCTTCAGCCGCTGCGGCAAACAATCCGACTCTGATCCAAAAGGAAGCTGATGAGCCGTGGTTGTTTCTACATTACACGTCCCAGATTGTGGCTTTAACTAAACAACAGCCTTAAAACATTCGATTTTCTTTCATATTTTTAACTTTAGCAATGCTTTGAAAATGGAAAAAAAAAAAAAAAAATCCAGATTTCTTAACTTATACTTTCCTGATTGCAATTTTATAATTGCTTGATTCTTAAGCCTCACTTGAGCATTCTTTGAGTAACAGTAATATCAATGTAGCGATGTATTAAATTACTGTTTTTGGTTTTTCGTTCTGTTTATGAAAGGTAACGGCCTGAATTTATCATGTGTCAGAGAGTAGCAGAGCTCATCCACAATGAGACAACAACAACAACAAGCTGATGGTCGAGGCGACCAGTCGACAGTGACCCTAATCAGCGCTGCTATTCTTTGAACCGTGATGAAAAGAAACTGTGTTTTCGAAACAGCAATGCCTAGAAAGTGGAAATAAACTGAGGTCCGACTGACAACAGACAGAAATGACAATGGAGCATGCTGCAAGGGAATCCTCAGTGGAAACTTGTGTTATATTCTTCTAGTGAATGACTCAGGAGAAAGAGAGAGTGAGGAAGGGAGAACGCTCTACCATAGGATCTCTCAGAGGCTTTCTTTCTTTATTTTCTTGTCAAAAAATTAAAATGAGCACAATAAAATAGCCTTCCTTTCACTGTCTCCTTTCCTGGAGAAACCACATGTATGCCAGAAGTGCCAGAAGTATTCCAGGACTTTTCATTTCACACATGTTTTACGGTTACCTTCACCTGAATCCTCACAAAAAAAAAAAAAAAAACATTTTCTCACTCTCTGTGCTTTTAGTACCATTAGATGGTTTTGGTGTTATTTGTCAGAGGTGTCAGAGTTCTACTTCCCATCCCAGTATTATAGAAGGAAGCTACATTTTGTGTTGAACATTTTTACAGTTACATCTATATTTGTAAAACGTCTGGACGGTCGAGGAACACACTGTCAAATGGTTTCTAGTATAGTTACAGTGAAATCTGCTGATGGTGAAGTCTTTGGATTGTACGTAGTCATAGGGACACTGCTTCCAGACCAACAGATGACTGATCAATGCACAGGTCCAGTCAGAGTTTTAACCAGAAACCTGTCTAATTGACAGACATGAAATGTTTTCACTCAACATCAAGTGGCATCATCTTGCCATGCTGACAGTTTTAGTTTTTTTTTTGGCCAGGATGTCAGATATTTGTCTGTCAGGCTTCTGCTGCCACCCTTACATAATGGAAGTAGGTGGTATTATGTCTGTGGTGCTCCTAGTCTTCAAAAATTACCTTTCAACAAGGTGAAGAGCCTACAGCTATAGCAACGTCTCTGAGAGGCTGCATTTAGGCACAAAGCAGTGCTTTGAGCTAAACACGACTGTCAGCATGCTCACACTGACACTGCTAACATAATCATATTCAGCAGGTGTAATTTTTACCATGTTCACTATCTTAAGGCCAATTCAGGGTTTCCACATGAACGGAGCAGGCTTTGACAGTGGACAGCGGATGTGCACGCGGTTCTATTAATAACAGGTATGTGTCAGACAGTCACAGTGCCTCCCACATCAAACACAGGAGAACACACAGGGGTTATGTAGATGTTGTAACTTTGCACCTTTTACAGGACATAGCAGCTTCATGTTGACTGAGCTGTAGCACTGCGATCCTTCCTGAGGTGTGCTGAGCACTGGGGACAAACAACACAAGATTTCTGGAGAATTTAGAACTAAAAAGCACTTTCAGTAGAAAGTATGTTTAAATCAAGGAAACTGAAGTCCGGCAGCGACTGCTTCAATTACAGCTCCTGAATTATAAAGATGTGGACGACGACAAATCTCCTCGCGCTGCCTCTTCTCATAACAAGCATTTGTTTCAAGCACGATTTGTTCTCCTGGCATATGTGCAGTCAGTGCGCTTGCAGTGCTTCCAGTCTGGTAAGAACAAAACCTGGCGTGCAGATGACTGTCGGCAGAGGGATCTCTACGGACCTCGACTTGGGTGCATGACAAAATTTACATCATCCTTGCAGACATATGGAGGCAGAAAACATGAACTGGCCTCAAGTTGAGTATGTCAATACGCAACCAGTGACTAATACTAAACACAAAAAGCACCTGAGACTGATGGGAATGTTGTGTGTTTTGCAGGTAAGTTG